TCGGAACAGTATTGTCGGCTTATCAAGCTACCTATTCGTGTAATGTTTGACGCTGGGGACTCATGTTTTGGTAATATGAATATATCTCCACTTATCCATCGAACAGACTAGTCGATACACATCCTGAGCTTTCTTTGTGTTGTTAGGGTAACACTCCGTTGCATATTGCTTGCTTGAACGGTCGCGATGAAGTGGTCGAATTGTTGCTGCAAGCTATTCAACAGGCCAAGATAGATGCAGCACTGTCTGGTTCGAGCCCTGTCAGTCCGAATAGTTCCTCAACCAGTCCAGATGCAGAACGTCAGCAGATGGTGAAACGCGCAGCTTTTGAGGCACTGGTTACGGCCGTAAATCAGCTGAGCGAACCAGACCATATGACACCATTGCACTTGGCTGTATCATCAACGGGTGGAGCATATTGCTTGCGTCATTTGCTGGAGGCTACAACTCCAACCACTCCGGATTTGGCTTTGATTGCAGATCCCGATGACCCGGGTGGGGCTAAACCCAAAAGTTTAGCCAATTTACAAGCTGCTGGTGGAGAGGATGAAAGTCACCCTCTTCATATGGCAGCATATCATGGCAGGTGAGAATAATCGTGAATCCCATTGATCAGTTCTATCTCCAACTTACGAATAATTATCTATCTATTTTGCTCAACTGATTTTGAATCCACCGAAATACGGTATTGGTCGGTTTAGATGTTTCTGGTCATTGGCAATCAGAAACGGTTTTTCTACCGATCACTAGATAAGCTGAAGTCGTTCGCTTATCGTACTGGTTTGTATTTCTTGCCTGTTACCATTTTTTCCTTATCCTGAACTCAATTTCCTCAATCTGTGTTTCATCACACTTCAATGATGCCATTTTAAATCATGTGGTGGCGTAATGGTTTAGTCGTTGTCACCGCCCCCTCCGCCTAAATTTGGTGGCAGGCAGCCTTTCTGTCGTCCAGGTCAATACCACGCCTAACCTATCGGAGCCTCAAGTGATTCGCCACTCCAAGTCCCGAGGCTTAGGTTACCGGTTTTCATCAAACGACACCAGGTCTTCGTGTCTGTGGAGTTTACTCCATCCATTATTCATCACACTAAAGTGTGCAATAAAACGATGTAAAATCTAACCGGTTTCCTCGCGCCATTCCAGTGCTTTCTGAGTTGAGCCTTGGTTGACCGAAGGTCCCACCGGTGTAAATCCGTAAATAAACCACTTCCTTTGGTTTGGATTGCCGGGGCCGTAAGCAAATCATGGATTGATTTCTTTGCAATGATATCTACGTGTGCCATAATTTGTTTAACACATAGTGTAATCCATTGCAGTGTATGAATTGGTTCTCAGTAGAATATCCGTGAGTCAAACAAATCGTAATCATCCGATCGGATTGTCGTCAGTTGTGTTTGTATACATCACTATATGTTCTAGGGGCTCAATCAATTATGTCACATACAGGGCAATCTGACAAACGGAATGGGTTATGTTTCTACTGATCGCTTTATGACCACAGCAGGTTGCCATAAGAGTGCTAGCCTCCCCCCCCCCCTTCCCGCAGCCAGGGCTCGTAAGCACTTTCATCATGTGCGCGTACATCACGTGCTAGCCTCATGTTTAATAGTTGTTTTTACTGCCAAATAAAACTATCCGAGGTGTGGTGTAATTTTATTTATTTTCCATGGTAGCCACTTTTGTGCATGATGGCCGAATAAAGGCAGCAGACAACTGATTCGTCATTGCATTGGACCAACTGGACCTACTCTCTGTGGCTCTTTAGAGGGATTCCTTCTCATTCGAATCGTGGGACCGAAATCTACTGCTCAGTTCAGCCAGCTGCCTAACGACCGAAATTCAGTTGCTCCGTCTTTGTTAAATATACTGCAGGCTACATCGCCTTTGCAGGCCTCCCACGAAGATGGAAATGTTCTCTCTGTTGCTTCGTGTCTTGTTTTCTGTCCGTCCTGGATGTCACTCATCAGTTCATTCGTAATGTTTACACAGGTTTTCTCAATTGTAACTTTCCACATTTGTCGCCACAGGGGGTCTAAAAGCCGTCTTCAACACAGGATCAAGTGTTATTTTTATTGGTCTGTAGATAGACTTGTTCTTGTGGAGGAT